CTCAGCCTGTAATCCCGCGCCTTTGGGAGGCTGAGGTGAGTGAATTGCCTGAGCCCGCGGGTTCAAGAGCCGCCTGGGCAGTGAGACCTCATCTCTACAATAAATCCAGCTACTTGGAAGGCTGAGGCGGAAGGATCGCCGGAGCCCAGCAGGTCGAGGCTGCGGTGGCCGGGAGCGGCCACTGCCCTCCAGTCTGGGCGACAGAGTGAGACTCCAACACAAAAAAAATTTTAAAATAAAAATAAAAAAAAGTAGCCGGACGTGATGGCGCATACCTATAGTCCCAGCTACCCAGGAGGAACACCTGAGCCCAGGAGTTTGAGGCTGCTGTGAGCTCTGATTGTGCCACTGCACTCCAGCCTGGGCAACAGAGTGAGACTCCAACTCAAAAATAAATAAATAAAAGATGTTAAAGGGTTTGCTAAGGGTGGTTTTTTCTTACCAGATACCTACCTGTGTGATGCTCTCTGGGCTTGAATGTGCATCGTGAAGGAATATAGGCAAGTGGTGCCTTTTTTAAAAGTTATCATAAAGAGTTTTAATCCATTTGTTTGAGACTTGCTTAAAATGGCCTAAACCCGGCGCAGTGGCTCATGCCTGTAATCCCAGCACTTGGGGAGGCAGAGGCGAGAGGACTGCCTGAGCCCATGAGTTCGAGACCAGCCTGGGAAAGTTGGCGAGACCGCATCTCTACGATAAATCAAAAAATTTGCTGGGCATGGTGACGCGTGCCTGTAGTTCCACCTACTTGGAAGGCTGAGGTGGAAGGATCACCTGAGTCTAGCAGGTCGAGGTTGCGGTGACTGTGAACGTACCACTGCACTCCAGCCTGGGCAACATAGTGAGGCTCCAACTGAAAAAAAGGCTTAATATGAGGACCTTGCTCAGCAATGTGGACCTCTACGTTTTGAATATTTTATTTTAAGTAAAGAAGTTTTTACTTAATTTTACACAAAATGTACATATAATTATCTCCAAATTTATATGTAGTAAACTACAATAGTAGAGGTAAAAATAAAATGTAAAATTAAAGCTTGTGTTTGTGTCACAAGGTTGAATTAAAGGAAATACTTTATCAGAAGAAGATGGCCACTGCACAGTTGCAGAAGACTTCCATGGTATGATTTCTTATATTTTAATGTATTTTCATTTAGCTGGTTTTATTTTTTCTTGAGGTCTCAATTACCTTATTTTTATATTTGAAAGTTAGAGTCAACTGTTTTGAGGGTTTAAAGATACCAGAAAACAGCCGGGCTCAGTGGATCAGCCTGTAATCCCACACCTTTGGGAGACTGAGGTGAGTGGATTGCCTGAGCCCGCGGGTTCGAGACCCACCTGGGTAACTTGGCGAGACCTCATCTCTATAATAAATCAAAATGAACCGAGCGTGGTAGCACGCACCTGTACTTCCAGCTACTCGGATGGCGGAGGTGGAAAGATCGCCAGAGCCCAGCAGGTCAAGGCTGCGGTGACCGGGAGCAGCCACTGTACTCCAGTCTGGGTGACAGAGTGAGACTCCAACTCCAAAAAAAAAAGATACCAGAAAACTCTGTTTTAAGAAATGAAGATATTTGCTAAACTGGAGAATTGTATTGGTCTGATGCATTGCATGAGATTGCTGGTTCAAATTTAATTGACATTAGGTATTAATGTAATTCTGTTGCTTTGATGAAATTTTTGTTCATAGTAGTCTACCTAAAGCACAGATATTTAATCATATGTGGAGTATAACTAAATAAGAAAATTAATATTTGTAACCCAGAGACAAAGATAAACTTGTCATCTTTGCACCAGATCTTGCATTGCAGTTAACCTGTGTTACCCCAGACAGTGACTAGAGAAAATCAGTGTTTCCTATCTGCGTATTATGCATTTACAGACAGCTCACCTACAAGGTAGTTCTTAAGATTTTTTATTTATTATTACTATTATTTTTAGTCAGAATCTTACTGTATCACCCAGGCTGGAGTGCAGTGGCACACTCACAGCCACTGGAGCCTCAACCTGCTGGGCTCAGAGATCCTTCTACCTCACCCTCCTAAGTAGCTGGAACTACGGGTATATGCCACCACACCCAGCTAATTTTTTAATTTATTTTAAAGATGAGGTTTCACCAAGTTGCCCAGGCTGGTCTCAAACCTCTGGGTTCAGGCAGTCCTCTCGCCTCAGACTCCCAAAGTGCTGGGATTACAGGCATGAGCCAACACACCCAGCAGGTTCTTTTTTTTTTAGAGGGTCTTACATACTTTATTATCAAGAGTTTTAATACAGAAAAGCAATGTTATTTATTTATTTTAAATTGGAGTCTCACCATCACCCAGGCTGGAATGCAGTGGCATGCTCACAAGCCTCCCCAGCGTCAACCTGCTGGGCTCCAGCAATCCTTCCGCCTCAGCCTTCCAAGTAACCAGAACTACAGGCATGTGCTACCATGCCCAGCTAACTTTTTTGATTTATCAGAGAGACAACATCTTGACAAGTTGCCCAAACTGGTCTCGAACCTAGGGCTCAGGCAATCCACTCGCCTCGGCCTCCCAAAGTGCTGGGATTACAGGCTGAGCCACCGAGCCCGGCCTCAATGTTATTTTTATATCCGAATGTCAATTATTGTAATAGACCATATGAATAGAGTAAATTCCAAAAGCAACCATATTATCCCAACAATATGAAAAAAATTTTTTGAAACAGTTCAACAAATGTTTATCACTAAATGTTTATCACTGAACAAATGTTTATCACTAAATGATAAACAAAGGTTTATCACTAAATGATAAACAGCAGAAAACTTTCTCACATTTGTATACCTAACCCTGAATTGTACCCCACATTTTAAAATAAAAAAAATTTAAAAAAAAGAAAACTTTCTCAACCTTTAAGGCACTTATGAAAAATCCACAGCTCACATAATACTTGAAAGTGAGCGCTGGTGCTTTTTTTCTCAGATTAGTTACAACATCTGTCCTATCACAGTTTTGACTCTCTTAATTCAAAGTAAACTATGCAAATAACAGCCAGAAATGATTTGTTTAAAAGAGTAAAGAGTAACAGATAAAAATCATTCACATGAGAGTGTAATACAGTTTTTACACACTCACAAATGAACACCATTTAATATTAGCAAATAAAATGAAACAAATTACTCCTACACCAAATTATTATTGTCTACAGAGAGAAACCTATAAACATAGGGAATATGCTAAAGACTTCAGTCAATCCAGTCACTTTAATTACCATAAAAGGATTTATACTGGAGAGAAATCCAATGAATGTAAGGAATACAGGAAGATTTTCAGTTTCCCAGTTTTCTTACAGGACATACAGACTCACACTGGTGAAAAATTCTGTGTGGGTAAGAAATGTGAAGCCAGGCTCGGTGGCTCAGCCTGTAATCCCGCGCCTTGGGAGGCTGAGGTGAGTGAATTGCCTGAGCCCGCGGGTTCGAGACCTGCCTAGGCAACTTGGTGAGACCTCATCTCTACAATAAATCAAAAAATTAGCCGGATGTGGTAGCACACGCCTGTAGTTCCTAACTCCTTGGAAGGCTGAGGTTGAAGGATCGCCGGAGCCCAGCAGGTCGAGGCTGCAGTGGCCGGAAGCGGCCACCACACTCCAGTCTGGGTGACAGAGTGAGACTCCAACTCAAAAAAACAAAAGAAAAGAAATGTGATAAAGCGTCCACTTTTTCGTGTTCCCTTTGTAGGTTCTTAAGATTTTTAAGTAGTTTTTGCACTTTTCTTTAGGCTGTTACCCTAAAAACACCCTTATAATTTAGAAGCCACCCCCACTTTTGGGAGGTTATACATCAATATGAGGAGGAATTCTTTGGGAGAGTACCATGCTTATGCAGAATTAGATATGTAAAATAAAGTCCAGGGAAACTTTTTTTTGATAAATCTAAATAAAGCATTTTCTTTTTCCTTGAATTTTAGAGTGCATTGATATTTCCCAGTAAGATATCAACTGAGCAGCAGTCTTTGTTGCTAGTGAAGAGGCTCCTGGCAGTTTCAGTATCCTGCATCACATATTTGAGAGGACTATTTCCAGAATGTGCTTATGGAACAAGATATCTAGATGGTAATATAATATTTATTTTAAAACCTTAAGATAGCGTTTTTGTTTTTGCTTGCTCTGAAACTATAGCTTTCAACTTAGAAATTTTATTTTATTTATTTATTTTTTAAAACTCTATTTTGCTGGGCTCGGTGGCTCAGCCTGTAATCCCAGTGCTTTGGGAGGCTGAGGTGAGTGGAGTGCCGGAGCCCGCGGGTTCGAGATCCGCCTGGGCAGGTGAGACCTCATCGCTACAATAAATCAAAAAATTATCCGGGCATGGTAGTGCGCGCCTGAAGTTCCAGCTACTGGAAGGCTGAGGCGGAAGGATCACCAGAGCCCAGCAGGTCGAGGCTGCGGTGGCCGGGAGCAGCCACTGCACTCCAGTCTGGGTGACTGAGTGAGACTTCAACTCAAAAAAAAAAAAAAAAAAAAACTCTATTTTTATTTATTTATTTTTGAGTCAGAGTCTCATTCTGTCGCGCAGGCTGAAGTGCAGTGGCACTCTCATAGCTACCACAGACTCAACCAGCTGGGCTCAGGTGATCCTTCCACTTTAGCCTTCCAAGTAGCTAGGACTACAGGCATGCACCATCATGCCCAGTTAATTTTTTTTTGTTTATTGTAGAGACAAGGTCTCACCATGTTGCCAAGGCTAGTCTTAAACCCCTGAGCTCAGACAGTCCTCTTGCCTCTGCCTCCCAAAGTGCTGGGATTAGAGGCATGAGCCACTACACCTGGCTAGAATTTTTTATTATTATTATTATTATTTATTATAAAGATGTGGGGTACAATTCAGGGTTAGGTATACAGACATTGATTATGCAGGTACCCTTGTTGATGAGATGAAATTTTATTTTTAATAGTAATTTATTAATATAATTTATAGGCTGGGTGCAGTGGCTCATACCTAAAATCCCAGCACTTTGGGAGACCAAGGTGAGAAGATTGCCTGAGCCCATGGGTTCAAGACCAGCCCGGGCAACTTGGCAAGACGGCATCTCTACATTAAATTAAAAAAAAAATTAGCTGGGCGTGGTGGCGCATGTCTAGTTCCAGCTACTTGGAAGGCTGAAGTGGAAGGATCACCTGAGCCCAGCAGGTCAAGACTGCGGTGGCCTTGAGCATGCTACTACACTCCAGCCTAAGCGACAGAGTGAGACTCCAACTCAAAAAAAAAAAAAAAAAAAAAAAAAAATATATATATATATATAAAATTTATATGCATGACATTTTACACCTGTTTAAAGTGCATGTTTCAAAAATTTTTAGCATATTCACAGAGTTGTGTTACAACCATTACCACAATTTTTTTCTTTTTCACTCATCAGCATTAGAATCAAACCACGTCAATTTTAGAACATTTTCATCACCCCAAAAAGAAACCCTATACCCATTAAGTCACTATCCACTTCCCCCAAACCTTCCCAGTTCTAGATAACCACCAATCTACTCTCTGTCCCTTTGGATTTACCAATTCTAGACATTTCGTGTAATAGCCCTTAGCTTCTTTCATTTTGCGTAATGCTTTCCAAGATTCCTCCATGTTGTCACATGGATAAGTGCTTTGTTCCTTTTCATTGCTGAATATGTTTCATTGTATGACTATACCACATTTAATTTATCAGTTGATGAACATTTGGATTGTCTTCTTTTTTTGACTATTGTGAATAATGCCACATTGATAGGCAAGCTTTTCTTTGGATAGTTTTTTTTCATAATCGATATTTTTGATTATGATATTGTGGGGTACAGTTAAGGGTTAGGTATACAAATATGCTTCGTTCAGGCACCCTTGTTGATAAGAGGTGTCTCCCCGTCCCCAGACAGATGTTTACTATCATTAATCCCATCTCCCTTCCCCTCGCCCCCACCATAGTTTCCCACAACAGTCTGTCATTCTCTTATGGTAATACGTTGGATGATCAAGGTCCACTATATGAGTGAGAACATGTGATACTCAGATCTTTGTTTCTGTGAGAGGTCACTCAGTATTATAGACTCTAGTTCCATCCAGGTTGCTGTGAAATTCATGATCTTGTTCTTTTTTATGGCTGCATGGTATTCCATCGTGTATATGTACCACATTTTTCAAATCCAGTCCTCTTTTGATGGACAGCATGGTTGGTTCCAGGTTCTTGCTATTGTGAACAATACTGCGATAAACATTCGTATGCAGGTATCTTTTTGATAGAGTGATTTGAGTTTTTCAGAGTATATTCCCAGTAGGGGGATTGCTGGGTCATATGGGAGGTTGATATTTAGAGCTTTTAGGAATCGCCACACTGCTTTCCACAGAGGTTGCACTAGTTTGCACTCCCACCAACAGTGTAGAAGTGTTCCCTTTTCGCCACACCCTCTCCAGCAACTGTTTTTTGTTATTGATAATTGCTATTCTGACTGGAGTTAGGTGGTATCTCAGTGTGGTTTTGATTTGCATCTCCCGGATGATTAGTGAGGTTGAACATTTTTTCATGTGTCTGTTGGCTGCTCGGATGTCTTCCTTTGTGAAGTGTCTATTCATATCTTTATTCAATACCTTTGAAAGCTCTTAATTGAACAATTTTTCCTCAATTTCTCAAGTATAATTTCACCTGAAATCATATTATAATGATGAACTAGCTAGCCTAGGCACACTGGCTCACATCTATAGTCCCAGCACTTTAGGAGGCCAAGGTGGGAGGATTGCTTGAGCCAAGAAGTTTGATACCAGCCTAGGGAACATAGCAAGACGTTGTTGTTTAAAAGATTTTTTTTAATTGGCTGGGTATGGTGGTGTCAGCCTGTAGTCCCAGCTACATGGGAGGCTGAGGAGGGAGGATCACTTGAGCACAGGACTTTGAGGCTGCAGTGAGCCATGATTGGGCGGCTGTACTCCAACCTGGGCAAAAATAATGGGCCCAACTCAAAAATAATAATAATGATGATGATGAAATAAATAGATAAAAATATTGTTATTTATAACTTGGTACAGTCGTAGTGTATGTTCTTGTGATATTTTAAGAAAGTAAAAAATAATACAACCAGTTTATACTACAATAATTGATTTCTCAGTACATGATATATGCATAATGTTGCATACCAATTAATGTGCTGGGCAATATGTTAAGCACTATGTTTTGTATGAGATCTTGGTAATTCATGTAACAGTCCTATGAAGTAGGTGTTATCCTTATTGTTCATATAAGGAACCTGAGGCTACGAGATGCTCTCAGTTTTTTCCACTGTGTTTCATGTTGCTTCTTTTCAGGGCTCTTTGTCTTTGGTGGCCAGTTAACTTCTTGGCCTTTTTCAAGCGTTTTACTTGGATAAGGGTCCATAGCAAACATTCTAAGATTCTTGGATAATGATAGAATGAAAGCATTATGTCTTATTTTATTTAATTTATCTATTTTTTTTTTATTTTGAGTTGGAGTCTCACTCTGTCGCCCAGACTGTAGTGCAGTGGCACGCCCCTGGCTACCGCAGCCTCAACCTACTGGACTCTAGCAATCCTTCCACCTCAGCCTTCTAAGTAGCCGGAACTACAGGCACACACTACCGTGCCCAGCTAATCTTTGATGTATTGTAGAGATGAGGTCTCATCATGTTGCCCAGGCTGGTCTGGAACCTGTGGGCTCAAGCAGTCCTCTTGCCTTGGCCTTCCACATTGCTGGGATTACAGGCTTGAGCCACCACACCCAGCTAATTTTTTTGATTTTTGTAGAGACGAGGCTTCACTATGTTGCCAGGTTGGTCTCGCACTCCTAAGCTCAAGCAATCTGCCTGCCTGGGCCTCCAAAAGTTCAGAGATTATAGGCATGAACCACTGTGCCCAACCTAATTTTAGGTATCCTATAATTTTTTAAAATGACATTTTCTACCCATCAACTTGCATCCTAATCATTATGATTGCATTTTATAATAAAGATTAAAAGACAATTTTCAAATAACCTCTCTTCTTTTCATTATATTAATAATTTCATACATCTCAAAGTTTATTGCCATTAATGATATACCCATAATACACAGAAAATATGTTTTATTTAAAATTTCTAGTTGTTTACTGTTTTAAAAAACCTCTATATTTATTTCATATTTGTGTTTAGATCTTTGTGTCAAAATTCTGAAAGAAGATAAAAATTGTCCAGGATCTATACAGTTAGTGAAGTGGTAAGTAAGAGAATACCTAAAGAAAGAAAATTACTTTATTCTTAAATCCTGTTTCTCTTTGTACCTTGGATATCTTTCAGTGTTCAACCAAATTTTAGCGAATCATACGTTAGTGCTGGATAGCATTTTTGCAGGTCTTGAAATTTTTTATTAAAAATTTATTTTATGCCCCATCAGAGCAGGCTTTGTTTATTTTATTATTGTTCCCCACAAATAGCTGTCAAATATTTTATATTTTCTTTTCTATTCTCTATCATCAATTTATATTTCTGCCACATTGTCTTTTATGTTTTGTTTTAAGATAGTTAATAAGAAAGAAGCTTTAGTAAGACATTTTTGTATTATTTAATAATGAGATAATATGGAAATATTGAAAAGAACTATTTTCTGGAAATGCATTCAGTCTAAAAATGAATTCTTGATTTCTTTTTTAGGATGCGAGGGTGCTATGATGCTTTACAGAGAAAATATGTAAGTCCTTCAGTATCTCTTTATCATAACCCCTGTTTCTGTAGTTTATATTCTACAAATCTCACTGGAATTACTGTGTAGTAAAACATTAAACTAACTTAAAAATAGGCCAGAGTTACTGAAAAGTCTGATATTTGAATATTTTAAAGACTAATCTTCAATCATTTAAAACTAATGGTATTAATGCTAAACAAATTTTGCTAAGCTAGTTTTGGTTAATTAACACTTATTTGTATTTACACATATTACCTTACAAAAAAATTAATGAATTAAAAAGTTTTTTTAAATAGTTAATTCATTAATTTCACATGCTTCTACAATCTTGTTTCTATTAATAATTTAATAAATTTTAAAATAAATTTTAATATAGTCTAGGTTACATTGTCACAAATTCTAAATTAGTGAGATTAAGAGGGTTGTAAAATACACTATAAGCCTTTTTGCAAACTTTGCAAAGTTGTATAGCAACATGTATAAAGAAATCCAGCACTACGCAAAATTGTGAAGAAGATGAATTTTTATCCATGGTCTCTAACCTTTCTCATTAAAGCACAGTAGATATTGCGTGACTATTATGTGCTAGGCACATATTCTAAGTAGGAGCTAGGTAAGCTAACAGTAGTCAACACAACAAATAGGATCCCTACTATAGTAGGAAAATAAGTGGTCAGTAAATCAGACACTATCTGATAGTGTTAAGTGCCATTAAAAATTTTAGCGAAAGTATGTGATAATAGATAGGTGGGGTAACTTTAGATGGGATGACTGGAAGAGGCATTGATTTGGGAAGAGAATATTCCTGGCAGAGCAGCAAATGTAAAAAGCTGGAAGGGAGTGTGAAGGGCTGCACGAAGAAAAAGAAGGCCAACGCGAGAAGTGCAATTGTGCAGTGGGGCAGAATGGCATGAGATGAACCTGGGGAGAGAGACAGGGCCAGATCATTCAATGCTGTGTAGGTGAGGCATCTGGATTGTATTTTAGGTGCAAAGTAAAGGTATTTGAAGATTGTAAGTAGACATGTAACGTCATTTGATTTACGTTTAAAATTTTATCATTTTTGATTATCCTAAATTTTTAAAAAATCTCTCTGTCTGCTATTTAAAGAATAGACTATAGAAGGAGAATGCGACTGGGAGTGAGGAGACTAGCACTTGGGCCATAATTGTAGTACTGAGAAGAAATCATGGTGGCTGAGACTGAATGGCAGAAGAGGAGAGCCAGGATAGATTTGGCAGAACTGCTTAGATTTGCTGAGAGATTGATTGTGGAGTATAAGGAAAAGATCAGAATCAATTTTCTTAGATTTTTGGCAGATTACTTGAGTAAATTATTTTCTTTGATTTTCTGTCCCTGTGGTTTCCAAAGCCTCCTCCCTTTATTAAATGCATTTATTAAATAACCTCTCTACTTTTTTTTAAATTTCAAATCAGTTCTCATACTCAATATAACATGTGTTCCCAATACATATGTATTTTCCTTGTAACTGGCAGTAATGTCCTATTTGGTTAAGTAAATGAAATGAAGTGCTGACATGAATTTCTACCATCAGTAACTCCAGTAGAAATAGGTATTTTGGGGAATAGGGAAGCATATCTAAGGTATTGCTTTATAGGCATGATCTGCAATCATTATTTGTTATTAAGAGTACATGTTGAAATAGGACTAATAATTCTAATGACTCACTATGAAAAAATATTTTTGAGAACACAAGTAAGATTTTTGTTTTTTGTTGTATTTCAGCTAAGGATGGTTGTTCTAGCTGTAAGTATTTTTTAATTGTATGTTCTTTTTTAAAAGACTGTCAAATTCAGCTTTGCTTAGTTAAATGATACCTATAACTATCAATGATTATGTTACATTATTCAAACAATAGGTCTACCAGAGGGAAAAAAGTAATAAAGTAATATTTTGGGGATCATTTTATTTTGCTAATTGGCTTAAAGTTTAGTTCTATTTAGTTCTTCTTGAATACTTAGCCTTAGATAACTCAATTGCAAATTATTTTAAATAGGTGTACACAAATCCAGAAGACCCTCAGGTAAGTGTACTTTAGTTAGTTAAAGAAACATAAGGCCTGTAATGTCTAAATATAATATAAAACTGTAATATAATAATACCTTATTATTTTAATTGTGCTTTAATCAATGTACTTTCATATATATTTTCACATTTGACCCTTGTAAAACTCTTCTGAGGTAAGGCAGCGCTTGTATTGTTACCTTTAAACAGATTAATACATATACTACAAGAGAGATTATGTGGCTAATCTTAGGCCATAAAGTTTACAAACTGTTAGAAGTAACCTAAACCTCCTGACTTCTGATTGTTTACAATATTCTTTAGCCCTTTGTGAAAGGACTTGAATTTTAGAAAATTAAGAAAGTCATCCTTAAACTTTGAGTATTCATCCCAATCCAGTCACATCCACCTGTTTATCTGACCAAAGAGAGAAGGGAAGACAAGAAAGGGAAAGTCAGAAGATAGGAATCAAGGGAGAAAGACCTACTGAGTACTTTTCTGTATTAAGCTCTGTTCTTTGGGGCTTTACTCGCATTATCTCATTTCTTCATCACAGCCTTCATAAGGTAACTATTATTATCAGCTTCACTTTACAGATTAGAAAGTCTAGGTTCAGGGTTTCCTGCCTGAGGTCACAGAGGCAAAAGAGGCAGTACCAGATTCTATTTTTTATTTTTTTAACTCAAGGTCTCACTCTGTTGCCCAGGCTGGAGAGCAGTCAAGGCACTCCTGGGTTTAAGTGAACCTTCTACCTCAGCCTCCAGAGTAGCTGGGACTATAGGTGTGTGCCACCATACCCAGGTAATTTTTTTTTTTATATTTTAGTAGAGATGAGGTCTTGCTATGTTGTCTAGGTTGGTCTCGAACTCCTATTACAATACAATGTTTCACTCAGTCATGGAAAGTAGATTTAAACTGATTTTAAAAACAGACAGAGGCCAGCTAGACTGTAATCCCAGCACTTTGGGAGGCCAAGACAAGTGGATTGCCTGAGCCCTTGGGTTCGAGACCAGCCTGGGCAACTTGGCAAGACTTCGTCTCTATGGTAAATCAAAAATTAGCCAGATGTGGTAGTGCACACCTATAGTTCTGGCTGCTTGGAAGGCTGAGGTGGAAGGATAGCTGGAGCCCAGCAAGTCAACGCTGGAATGACTGTGAGTGTGCCACTGCACTCCAGCCTGGGCAATGAAGTGAGATTCCAACTCAAAAAAAAACGAGAGAGAGACCATAATTCTCAGCACTGTGGGAGGTGGAGGCAAGAGGATTGTCTGAGCTCAGGGGTTCAAGACCAGCCTGGGCAACTTGGCGAGACCTCGTCTCTACAATAAATAAAAACATTAGCCGATATGGCTTAAAGTTTAGTTCTATACTTCCAGCTACTTGGAAGGCTGAGGCAGAAGGATCGCCTGAGCCCAGCAGGTCGAGGCTGCGGTGGCTGTAAGGGTGCCTCTGCATTCCAACCTGGGCAACAGTGAGACTCCGACTCAAAAAAATAAAAAGCAGAGAGAGAGAGTATACTGACCCCCCCCCAACCCCTATATAAGCACTGAAATGTAAAGAAGGCTATAAAAATATTTAAGCTTCAGAAGGGCTGGAAATGTCTTTTCTTTCATGCTCACACTTGCAATTAATGCTTAATATATGCCCATGGTGACAAAGCAGATCATTTGGGCAAAAACTGTGAATTAATTGTACAGAAAACTAATGCATTGTTTAGAAAATGTTCATTTTAATATACTTTATAATATAGCGTGCATTTTTTTCTGTTAGTAAATCAGCAACCTAATTGATTCACTAGTAATATTTACTGAATGTTCACTACCTGTCAGGCACTTTATAACGTACTCTAGCCGGGCACAGTGGCTCAAGCCTGTAATCCCAGCACTTTAGGGGGCCAAAGTGAGAAGATTGCCTGAGCCCGTGGGTTCGAGACCAGCCTGGGCAACATAGTCTCTATAATAAATAAAAAAATTAGCCAGGCATGGTAGCACGCACCTGTAGTTTCAGCTACTTGGAAGGCTGAGGTGGAAGGATTGCCGGAGCCCAGCAGGTTGACGCTGGGGTGACCATGTGCGTGCCACTGCACTCCAGCCTGGACGATGGAGTGCGACTCCAACTCAAAAAATAAATAAATAAATAAAGTACTCTGTGTAAATCATCACATTTGTGACTATTCACAACTACTGATGAGATAGATACTGTCTTCAACTCCCTTTTTTAGCTGGAGAATCTGAGATTTAGAAGGTTTAAATGATTTGTCTTTAGTTATAGTATAGCAAAGACTCAAGCTCTGTACTTAGCCACTCTGCTGAGGTATGGTACCTCCCTTACCTGCCTGCTGAGGAGTTCCTTCCATTTGGTATAAATAACATACATTGCAATGAGTGGGAATAATTTCCAAGACTGAAGACCTAAATCTCAGACCATTAGAAATTGACTTAAAAGCTTCAATGGACCAATAAAGATTAACATGGCAGAAAAAAACTTTTGATTAAATTTTAAAAGCCATACAAAATTGGTAGTAGCTGTTTGGCAGCCAGTACTATATTTCAGATACATAATTGTAGTGTTTTCTATTTAAGACAATTTCAGAATGTTACCAGTTCAAATTCAAATACACCAATAATGGACCAATCTTGGACTTTATAAGGTACTGTTCTATAGTTTTATTTTTGAATTACAGATTACCACTTATTCATGTTAATGCTGCACAACCAAACTTCAGAATTAATTCTGAAACTTCTCAAATATTTCCAATTAACCCATCAAGATGTGTCTGTGCAAAATGGAGTAGTGGTTTGGAGTAACTGCAAGCCAGGATTCTGTGATTAATTATATACTATTTTAATTGTGGAAAGAGAACTTAAATGATTAGAAATATAATTAAAATTCATCATTTATTTCCTTTATATACTTTCTATAGAATGCACATTAATTTATGTAAAATTAAGTTATTGAGTTATGATAATAGAGATATTAATAGTGATATTACAATTTATATAATAATGACATCAAAATACATTTTATGGTAACTTAACAACTTAATGCTGTAATAGAAATAAGAATCTCAAATATTTAAAATATAGAATTGATATTCGAAGCCACAGATTTTATAAAAGAAATCAATGTGTGATTCTCTTCTAGTAAAAACCAAAGCAATGAATCTAGCATGTCATCTGCTGACACCAAGAAAGCAAGTATACTCCTCATTCGCAAGATTTATATTCTAATGCAAAACCTGGGACCTTTACCTAATGATGTTTGTTTGACCATGAAACTTTTTTACTACAATGAAGGTACTATTTGCAATACATCCTGTTTCAGTTGGCACTTATGGTTTAATTATTATTGAAACAATGGGTTCCCATTCCAAATAGTTTTAATACCTAAATTGTTATATATTTTAAGTTTAAAAATTTACATTTCATGTCACTATTTGAAAATAAAGATTTGCAAAAATAAACTTTAAGATATACACATGGCCGGCATGGTGGCTCACGCCTACAATTTCAGCACTTTGGGAGGCTGAGATGAGAGGATTGCCTGAGCCCATGGGTTCGAGACCAGCCTGGGCAACTTGGTGATACCTCTTCTCTATAATAAATCAAAAATTAGTTGGGTGTGGTGGCGCGTGCCTGTAGTTCCAGCTACTTGGAAGGCTGAAGTAGAAGGATCACTGGAACCCAGCAGGTTGAGGCTGCGGTGGCCATGAGCCTGCCACTGCACTCCAGCCTGGGCGACAGATTGAGACTCCAACTCAAAAAAATAAAATAAAATAGACACTTCTCTAGTGATAGAAACTTAACCATATGAAATATAGCCTCACTCATAATTAAAGAAATGAAACAGTGAGATACCAGTTTTCACTTACCAGATTGGTAAAACTTGCAAACTTATTATTGTCAAAGAGTGTGAGAAAGCAGGCTCTTTTCCACATTCTTGAGGGAATATATTGGTGAAACATTTTTAGACAATAATTTGGCAGTATCAAAATTTTAAAGGTAATTTATCTTTAATCCAGAAATTCTTTAGCTAGAAAAATACTTGAGAATATAATTGCACAGATATACAAGGTTATATATTTATAAGGATTTTGATGATAACATTGGCTAAAATAGGAACAAACTAGAAACGAGTGTCCTTCACTGGGGATTGAATAAATAAATTATGGTGCATCTGTATAATATAGTACTATACAAACTGTTAAAAAGAAAGTGCTGATAAATTAAGCAATCCAAGACATATGATTAAGTTAAAGACAGCTAGGTATGTGAACAGTATGATCTCATTTGTGTTTTTATTTTTTTTATTTTTTTTTGAGTTGGAGTCTCACTCTGTCACCCAGGTTGGACTGCAGTGGCACGCTCATGGCCACTGCAGCCTTGACCTGCTGGGCTCAGTGATCCTTCCACCTCAGCCTTCCAAGTAGCTGAAACTACAGGCACACGCCACCACGCCCAGCTATCATTTGTGTTTTTAAGGAAATGCATGTATATTTCCTAAAACTTATATGAATATGAAACATATTTTTTATTACATGTGTAATGTCTTCTCAGAGAACATAATGCAACAATAACAACATTTATTGAGTGCTCACTATGTGCCAGTTGTTTTCAACATTTTATAACACTTTATTTAATGCCCACAATGACCCTGTGAAGTTGGTCATTTGACAGATGTTGGTGATTTGACATTTGACAAATGAGAAAACTAAATCAGGGATGATAAATAATTTACTCAAGGTCACACAGCCAATAAAGTGAAAAAAACAGTTTACCTTTAAGGAATAAAATGGGGACTTAGATATAGTTGAAGAGTAATTTTTACTTTTTAATTTATGCCTTTCTATACTATTTGAAATATCTTCAGTCTTCACATGTTTTTATATTTTTTTCAATTTCACAAACAGCACAGTTTATACTTACTTTTTTGCAGTTACACCCCCAGATTACCAGCCTCCTGGTTTTAAGGAAGGTGATTGTGAAGGAGTAATATTTGAAGGGGAGCCTATGTATTTAAATGTGGGAGAAGTCCCAACACCTTTTCACACCTTTAAAGTAAAAGTGACCACTGAGAAAGAACGAATGGAAAATATTGATTCATCTATACTATCACCAAAACAATTTAAAACACCACTTCAAAAAGTATTGGTGGACAAAGATGATATAGAAGATGAACAGGAGCATTATATAAATGTGAGTGTATTTAGAGAGTTATAAAGTATAGTAGTAATAAATGTTTGACTAATTCTGAGGATTTTCATAGCTCCCATTAATATTTGTGTAAACACTGTATTATAATATTTAAGGTTGGAAGGGACCTTAAAGAAGATCTAGGCCTATGGTTTTAAAACTTTTTACCTTAGTCCAAACAACGTTATTCTCAGAACTTGAAACACAACTTATTCTGATTGAAGCAGGTAATGGTTCTGGAGGCCCAGATACTCATTACCTCATTTACCCAAAGAGTGAACTCTGAGGAAATGCCTAGGACTCTGAGACATAAGTTGAAAACCATTGAACTAGTTCAACCCCCAACTATTAATGGAATCCTTTCTACAACATTTCTGCTCAGGTAACCTGTACTTGAATTTCTCCAGGGCCTGGAAAGTCACTGTCCTGAAGCAGCCTGGAAGGCAGAAAATGTGTCTTATTCTTTTTTACATCCTGTTCCTGGCACTTAGATTTGCAGTCAGGGCATTCCCAGTATTGCTTGAATGAATGGATGAATAGAAGTATAAAAGGGATTTTGTGTTGCCTCACTTTCAGCAAATGTGAAAGTCATTGCTTTAATCTTTCAAGCATTACCATTATGTCCTTTAATCTCACTTCTCTGATTTTCTTTTGTCTCAGTGTTTTCTAAATTATGACCACAGTACTTACGTACAGAGACTCTCTATTCTGAGTTAGGCTCTGTGGCCACATTTTTATAAATAAAAAGTTCAATCAAATTTCAGCCAGTTTGGTCAAAAAAGAAAACTTTTCAAAAACCCAAATCCCAGTCTTGCTTTATAAACAAATATGGCTGGAATTTTTGTAGCATTTGTTAAACTATTTAAATCTCTTTTACATATATCACTTAAGGAGCAATAATTATAATGTAGACATTAGCCCTGTTATTTCTACCATATCATGACTGAACTTATCCTTCATTAGCTCCCTGAAGAGGATCGGGGCATATTTAGAGTAAATGCTAACATTGGTACAGAAAGTTCAGAGCTACAGAAGTGTCATTTGCTGTGTGAACATGTCTAATTCAGCATACTCAGCAGTAGTAAGATCTAAGGATTCTTAGAATCATCATAAATTTAAGAGAAAATTGTATATTTTTATCATAGAGCCTTAAAGCAACACTGCAAAGTAAAGAAAAAATGTATTTTATACTTTGTTTGGATTAATCAGTCACCTTGTGATAGTATTGGGTTGATGCATAAGTTCATAGCGCTTTTATTTGCCCATGGAAGGCAAATGTCACACAATGGTTGACTGCTCACAGTTGATCGCATTTGCCAGTTCTCAGGTTGTCTGACATGGATCATCATGGATTAAAGTGTTTAGATGGTCTTCATCAAAGCCCATGGTCTTCCTGAATATGGAGACTAACTCAGGTCACAGTGGCCCTCTTTGAAACAACAAAACTATTTTCTTGCTGTTTTTTCCCCCGATGGCATTCTCCCCATATATGGCACAGATGTTTCCACAGCACAAATGTTTTGAGCCCCCTCCACTGCCTTTACTCTTGTGTTAAACTGAATCAGAATAGTATGTCGGAAGTGTTTTTTTTTTTTCCCACTTGACACTCCATCTTCTTTTTTTTTGAGTTGGAGTCTCACTCTGTCGCCCAGACTGGAGTGCAGTGGCTGCTCCCGGCCACCACAGTCTCAACCTGCTGGGCTCCGGCGATCCTTCCGCCTCAGCCTTCCGAGTAGCCGGAACTACTGGCACGCGCTACCACGCCCAGCTGATTTTTTGATTTCTTGTAGAGATGAGGTCTTGCTGCGCAGGCGCGTCTCGAACCCGCGGGCTCAGACAATCCACTCACCTCAGCCTCCCAA